CAGCTCAATTCAGTTTGTGTCACTTTGTAGTATCAATCGGCTTCGCCTTGTGATTTATCCTTCCGTCACCACATCCAATTTTGTCCAATCATGCAATTGTATTTTCAGTCGCGCCACCTTAATTCAAATCTCGTCACATTCGAGCAGCCATTGGCGTCGCCTTTTGGGTTTTCCCTCTCGGCACATTCAAATTTCTTATTGTATTGGGTAATGCATAGGAACCGAATGTATGAATGCTCGTGCAGAAGAGGAGCTTTGTCGGGCCAAAGAATTGACAACATTCAATGTCGGAATCACAAAGCACAAAGTACGGAGGGCCAGACGGACCATCAAATGTATAAAGAGGCCCGTGTGTTGTATTTTTTTCTCTGTGACCCCTCACAACATTCAAAGTGAAAATGCATAGATAAGTGTAGACGACGGAGGAGGTTCGAGAGAGAGACAGAAAAGCATATAGTTAGTTCGAGGCCAGATGCATCCGAGTATGCGGGCAGAACATCACACCACACACGACACAAAATGACGAAAGCGAGATATTCAATCACGAAACAGGCGCCCCAACAACGGGGACTTTCGTGATAATTGAAATCCAATGAGAAAGAACAATATTGTGGACGACAAACACACCGGGGACATGACAAGCTCACCCGGAGATATCCTGGCAGTGACAGCCAGTTCTGCTCTAAACCAAACCGAGAACACCCACCAGTCCCTCACGGAAAAAATGAAAAGGAACAAATTTCGTCCGGAGAAGAACGGAATGTTCTTCTACGTCAACCCTTCAACACTACTTGATCAACAAAGAGATAGACGCTTACCTACCAACATCGCAAATCGCCAAAGCTAGTCTAGCTCTGATAGAGGAGATGTGTCTATGGGAGAAACCAAAAGGTGGACGTAAACCTCTCGCCAAACAGGAAGCGAACATCAACATGAACACCCCACAACTAGCCCCGTCGTGCTGCCCAAGGACACCTTTCACACTGACCTCGCGAGCGAAGTGGTCGAAAGTGCGACCATCACCGGCGACACCTGGCACCGTGTTCAAAAATTTAACAGTTTTATCCAGAAGTGCGGAGTAGAAGGAATCTTTGGATGACGAACACGAGAAAGAATCATAGATTTCCAAAACACGTCTAGAGAAGTCAATGGCCAAAAGGCTCCAGTGTTCGCCGTCCTTGTGCACTGGTACCAAGACGAGGTCATGAGACAGGAGGTCGACATCTTTAGCCCATCTGAGAACAACTGTTGGACCTCGCAAAAGCAGCGAAGAGGCGAAGAAGGAGTTAAAGGTGTATATCTTCATGGTAGCGGCAATCCGGCCGCAGTCGTCCAGTAGCATCGCCATGTAGAAATTGACAACCTCATCGTTGAGCTCCCCGGATCTATCCACGAGTGCGACGATGTCCTTGACGGATACTTGTAAACTGTGCGACGGCAAACGCGCGACGATGATAGTGAGCGGCAACCGGGAGCAGATAACGTCTTATAGGACCGCTCTTCCATCTCGAGGAAACCATGTTCAACAAACACCCGCAGCACACAACAAGCACAAAGGACAGGGCACTATGAGAAAATGCCGTCCTAGCGGCCATGGTCAGAGGAACCGCTACTCTGTGGTCCGAAAAGTTCACGCATAACGTCACCCCTACTTTTGAACCTTCTACACACAGTTGATTCTAAGCTAACACTCTCCTTTATATCCCTGCAAGCCTCGAGAAGAAATTCCGTGCAGTCTTTTTCGGCAACACCCGCTGCCTCTGCAACGAGTCTTGCGCGGGAGCCCAATACGGGCACGACTACCCTTCTAGGAGGACCTCGAGGCTTAGTGTCCCCAGGAAACGCATCAGTGACATTGCGACGACCAGTGCCTCCCGCAACCAGGACTGACAACCTGGCGAGGGCAGGCGGCTCCTGCGACATGGGTGTTTGTCCACGAGTTCGTCCACCTGTACAAGAAATAGCCACCCAGAGAGTTCATCAGGAGATCAACAACACAAGTTCGCAATAGCAACCAAGCAAACAACACCTCACGAAGCACATCGTCACAATCCAATTGGCGGCCGCCTATACACCCCCCCGAAATCGACGAAGCAAACAACACTTCACGAATGGGATGACGAGCGGGAAGAAAGCAGAGAAAGTCAGTGCTTACCAGGCCTAGCTACCACTTCACCAGAGCCCACCAACGACAGTCCCAGCACGATTGGCACCCCTGCGCGCATCGACGCAGCGAGGACGTGCTCCAAACCCACAGGGAAACTTGACAGGCTCGAGATGTCAGCGTCGATGACCGTAGACGGTATATTCGTCTCCGGACAAAGAGCGTCGACATCCACAATATCGACAGGTTGTGTTTTCTCCATTGCCACTGTGTCGTATTGTGTTGGGCTCAATGTCCCATGGATGTCCAACAACACCTTTCCCCCCCTTAACTTCTTGTCCCCGTACGCTGTGTCTTTGTCGTCGTCACTCAAATAGAGAAATTTATCTCCAACAGCGTCAGAGGCCTTCTTCAGAACGTCCTCCCCCATCGCCTCGTTGTGAAGGGCGAAGTACAAGGGATCGTCGTATCCTGGCTGAACTGGTAGCTCCATCTCGACGTCGCTGAGTGTCAGATCAATCCGGTCGTCGGCGGAATTGTCCTTGTGCAAAGTTGTCAGTAGTCGACAACCCTCAACGCCTGCCAGTTGAAGTCCTTCGTCCGTGTGCCTCAGATGAATCCGAATCACGGTCGTCTCCAAAGATGCATCAGGGAGGGACATGTTCACAGGGCCCTGGTTCGGATTCATCCGAGCCCCCACAGTTTCCAATGACGCCGACATGACCGCTTTCACCGAGGAGTCGCTTACGACTGCTAACTCAGCTCCGAGTGTGTTGGGCTCGACATTGGAACTGGTCGCCAACTCACCCTTAGTCGGACAGTCTGCCTGCAGCTCTTCGTGGGCTTCCACGCACAACATTACTGCATCCTAACACCGATCGTCTGTCATGGCAGACATGGCTTCCTGGTTCGGATGAATCCGAATTTCGTCGCCAGGGTTTTCGGAAACACGGACCACCCGTTCGAGTTCTGTACACAACTGTGCTCCCTCGATGGCACGGCCTTCGCGGTTCGGATTAATCCGAACTTCCTTTTGAGGCGAAACAGAACACGGTTCCAACTTGTCGCTGCCGGACCAGTGGTATGTTGTCGTCTCGCTTCCCGGAAGGCACTGAGTTCCGGACAACGACGTCGTCTCCGAGGTTCGGATTGATCCGAGACAATCTGCCAACCGTTTTCGTAGCTGAGCGAGGCATGTTCCATGCTTTGCGACACCCGCCCCGCCAACCGCATCGACAAACTGTATTTCGCTGGTGGAGCTAATCACAGGGTCCTGCTCGCCAGGCCGCGTAATACACCCAGGCCTCATGTCGTTCCCCGTCTGCATTGAGGTGCTGCCAGTTACCGCCAGAACCCCACCGTCTTCGTCGTGGTCGACATCGGACCCCTGCCCGTCTCCTCTGTGATGCTTCGTCTTCTCTCCGCTGCGAGGCTTTTTCTTCTCCCTACTACCCTTCTTCCCCTCTCCACCGCCTGCGTGCTTCAAAGACCGCTGTTTCGCCGAACGCTGTTCACTTCCACCTCCGGTACCTCGTTGCCCGCCTCCTTCACCATCCCCGTCGCCGTCCTTTCCGCGAGACTTGCGCTTCACAACTCCTGCCGGCGGGGTGACCTAAGGCAACTCCCAACTCACTTGCTTAATTGACGGGCTTGACGGAAGGGCGTAGAACGCGGAGGACACTTCCATCCATTTATTTGACTGCAATAACTCGAACAGCGTGTCCCCGTATTCGCGTAGAGCAGGGTCGTCCTTACTTCGTCGATTGACCTCACTCAATCTCTCCAATACCGTATCGTAGGCGTGAGATTCGAATGTCTCGAGGTCCCAACGATCGTCATATATCCACCCTCCACTTACGTCCCTCACAGCCACCGCCCATTCGCCGTCGAGAACGACTGGCTGGAAATGGTGTGGGTGCCACACGATATCATGGCCCCAATCTTCGGCTGTGGAGAAGGTGTGTTTGTCGCCCATGTGGAAGAGCGTCGCAGGAGCCTTGAGATGCGGATGGTCCGGAGGAACTGGACGGCCGGGTCGAAGACGTTCGGGCTGCGGCGTGAGACGAATAGGCTCCCCCGGCGAACTCCTCAGACAGGACAACCCACCCCTCTTGACAGGTGCTAAGGAGGACACAGGCGTGGGACCGCTCGAGGTAGGTGTAGCGAGAGGTGTCCCCGGTTTGCATACTGATGGCGACTCAGAAACTTGGGCGTTGAAGATGGCCAATTGCCCGTCCAAATCGAAGAGGTCGTCCTCAACGCTCTCCTCGTGCTCAGTCTCGATATTGAAGTCGTCCTCCTCACCGAATGCCTGCTTGTACTTATCCAAAGTGAAGTCGGCCGGATCGACCACATCCTCGTTAAAAAAGACGTATTCCAGCCTTTTAATGAAGCTCACAGCGCCGGCCCGACTCGCTCCGTGGTAGCCCTAGAGGACCGCAATGGCGACTTCCTTCCGCACCACGTACTGCGGGTCAAATCTCAACCTTGGTTGTTCGCCGTAAAGGAAGGAGTAGACCTGGCGCCTTTTCTTCAGAGTCAACTTGAAGAACATGTCCTTGTTCGGGTCATAAACGGGCTCGACCACGACATGGTGGAAATCGCATGGGTAAGCCTTGGACGACACTTCATGGGTGACATATTGCACGGTGTATTCAAGCTGCGTTGTGTCCCTATCCACGGCCAAGACGCGCCTTCCCTGCTGAAGCAGACTCTACACCACCTGCGCGTGCGGCTTGCCCAAGAACAACACGACATCCGCCACACCACAGAAGAAAAGAAGCTGATTGCACAACTGATTCGGATTCCGCTCGCCGTCCTTGTACAGAGCCCCCCTCAGGGTCAGGTTTCCGATTCCCGCGAAAGTCAAGGACTTGAAAGACTTGTCCTCCACATCCGTGGGTGTCACTTTTTGTTTCCTCTGGAGAGCGGCGTCGTCGTCTTCAACAACAGCTCCCTCGTACACCGGGTAGTCAGTAGCCGAGGATCCTCGCCTTTGAAAAGGATATGCATCATATCCGGCTCCTCCCAGACGCTGTTTCCGAACTGATGCGTCTTCTTCGATGCCGTCTTCCGAACCCACTTCCCCGTGTAGCACGGGTAGCCCCAAGCGCAGACAAACATGTCATGAAGAAGAGGTTCCACAGGAAGGGGACGAATACCACCAATGTCCAGTAGTCCTGACAAACGAAGCCCAGCAACTCACTCAGAGACGCGAATGCCCCAGAGTCCCATTGCGCACGGTCCACAGTACCGCATAAGTCGAGCACGCAAGTGTGGGAGCGTAGCCGATGCCCTAGTTTTCCCAGTGCCTCCTTATGATCTCTGGCACTCAATGGGTCGACGTTATACAGGGCCAGCGTCGTTAAGGGGCTTGTCCTTATCCATATAATGTTAATGCATTCATCAACGCCCCGAGGGTTTTTTTTGCCTTTGGCGCGATCTCCAGTGATCACCGAAAGGACGACACGCTTCCACTCCGCCGGGAAATGCTGGTCGTTGACAAGGGCCGCCGTTCTCTTGATGTTGTTGTTGTGTTGACACCCGAGAAACTGAGGGCACTTGTTGACGTATGTGGTGTCCGTGAAAAATTTCCTGCTCTCGTTCCAAAGCTTGTCGTTGAGACCTCTGTCCTCGAACTCTTCGAACAGTTGCTTCTTGGACCTGAAGAACGTGGAGTTGGCATTCCACTCCCACTTATCCATTTCCTCGTACTCGAACTCCACATAGTGCCACAGCCTCAGCATAATCCAGTCCATTTTTATTATGTCGACCATCTCCTTGACACTGAACTTCCCCTGCTCGGCCAACTTCTTGCTACTCGTTTGAACCCACGCGACGTTAAGGTTCAAGTAGCCGTTCAACAACCTTTTCTTCTCGCGGTCCGTCAAGTCCACCAATTCCTTCCAGCAGTGGACATCCGGCTCCGGAACTTGGACGTAGAAAGTTTTCTCCTCCGCGCCTTTCTTTGGCTTCCCCCTGCTCTTTTTCAACGACGGGTCGTCCACCTTCACGTACCAGACGTGTCTCTTCAGCCCTTGGCTGTCAGTCACAGTGGAGAGTCCTGGCTTGGCCACCTCCTCATGGGTGGGCGGCTTTTCAGTCCAACGCCGGCCGTCGGAAGCAAGGAGTTTCCCTTTCGACCACTCCTCATAGAACTTCAACCCCAAAGCGAAGACGGAGTCATCTGCCATGGCCAGCGGGAGGTAGTATCTAAGTTTCTCAACCCATTCCTTTCTTTTCTTTGCTTCCGTTGACAGGTTCCAGATAGGCTTTTACGACATCTTCTTCATTGCCAACGCCATGAACCGCACCCACTTTCGCACCTCGTCCTGTTTCTTCGAGGCATTGCCGAGCACCACACGCGGTTTGCCCTTAATTTTTCAGATATTGCAAATGTCCCGCATAGACAAAACCTGCAAGCGCGGTGGATTCTTCTTGTCTTTCATGTTGTCTTCGCAGCTGACACGGGCGTAGCCGTCGAACTCGTCGTCAGGAAAGTAGATCGGTCTGAACGGCCATTTACAGAAGTTGTGGTAATCCAACACGGGATGGTCTTGCACCATCATCGCCGCCCTCGCGTTATGCTGTCCACACATAGGATAATACCAGTATTTCTCCGGGGGTGAGCTGTTGAAGTCAGCAGGCAGCATGCGCACAGCAGGCTCGCCGTTCTCTGGAGGCGCGACGATCGGCGCGAGAACGAAAATGCGCTTCGTGTATCTCATGTCTTTGCGTTCGTAGCAGTCGATCATAGCCGACGCGATGGTATCAACGAGGAACTCGTCCAAGGATCGGTGATTGTACGCGTCTTCCCAGTCTGGAATAACTAATATTCTTTCGGGATGGATGTGCAACAAGACGTCCTTCTGCACCCCTGTCTGCATCTCGAGGAAGAACGCATTGTCGAGGTTAAAGGCGTTGAGGTTAATCTCCACGTCGTCATCCCCCTCCCTGCTGTCGCCCTCGTCTGCTTTCTTCCCCCTCGATGATTTCGACCGTTTCCCGGAAGACTCATCGGTTCTTCGCCGTGTCGACGAGTCTTTTGGCGTTTCATCCCCACCTCCAACCCTTTTCCTCTTCTCAACGGAACCGCCCTCTCGTGTTGTTGGCGTCCGAGCACTCCCTCCTGCCTTTCTCTGCCTTTTCAGAGCACCTACTCCCTCTCGCTCTTCCTCATCTGGCAAGTTGCGCTTGCCTCCCGACTGAGTCTTTTCAGCCGATCTCTCACGGAACAGCCCTTGCTCGGACACCTCCTCCTCACCGGCGATGTTCCCACTTGCTTCTCGTTCCTGGCTGAACTCCGTCTGCAGTTGCGCCGRCGCTGRWCMGGCCCGRYGAGTTGTCTCATCTGACCCACKCACCTCCCGAACCTGCGGACCACCCGCTCGATCTCCAGGCGAAACCTCGGCCACCTGCATGCCACGAACGAACGAACCGATCCTTTCGACCAGACCACGAGGAGTCGTCGATTCTGAGCCCTGTCGCAACCGTTCKCCATCGCCGCCTCCATGTGGCGTCGACTCCYCAAGCAAACCRTGKCGGCGAGATACATGCAAGSCCGGTTTCAAAGGAGCACGCGGATGGTCGTCCTCCGAGTCGTCTGACATGCCCACCTCTTGATCAGGAGGCGYAGCTGGCAGGCCACCCTGACTTCCCATCTCCCTTTCAGAGCACTCTCCTCCCGCGAACCCAACAGGACCACTGATCGATGTTCCAGGTCCGACGTCCACGACACTGATCGATGTTCCAGGTCCGACTTCCTCGCCCAGACCTCGAGGAAGTCTGTGACGTGAACGGTCTCGTCGTGCCCCGGCGCTAGCGGGACAAAGTGAGGCAAAGACATCACACGACGGCCGGACCCGCCGAACATCCTCCCGGCAACCTTGCATCCCTTTGCGATGCCGTCGACCGAACTATCACTTCTGTAATGCTTCTTCAACGTAAACTTGAAATTGTATTCGCCATTGTCGACCCACTGGACGATGGACCCTGCAAGACGCGTTCTGTCGGCTCGAACGGCGACGAACAAGAGCGGCCCACACGGTGGTTGCAAAGGGTCGGAGCTGACCTAGCTCGCCCAGTCCAAATACCAGACACGTTTGCTGTAGTCGCACCACAAGTTTTGAGCACGTCGTCCCTCGACTCGTTTCCCTTGCCGGCGACGACGTCGTCCCTCGACGCTCCTCTCCATGTGGGGCGGAATCACCAGCGGAGCGGCCTCGTCCGTGTGAAGCCATTCCCTAAAACACACGGAGGAAATGAACCCACATTCACTCAGAACAGTCAGCACATCCCAACATCAACCACGACCCACAGCACGTATTTTGTTATCGGTCACCCGGACTCCAAAAGAACGAAGTTCAGTCATAGTTAGACGACTGTGGTCCACAAGCCTGCACGTTTTGGATGAATCCGAGGCATCGTGAGGCATCCTCGTTACGCTGCCCTTAAGAGAATGAATGGTCGAAAACGAAGACTGCGGGGTAGATCGGATACATCCGAAGCAGGCGCAGTCGAAAAACCGACGTCGCATAGGCACCTGCACCGGGAAAAGCAACACCTCGCAAGAAGGCCCTAGAACGCTGATACGGCAGACGAAGACGAATCCGTTGTCATCCGAAGTCAACAAGTGGATTGTAAAGTCTGTCGTTGTAATTCGGATGAATCCGAGCTCCAAAGCGGTGTGGACCACCCCCTTTCGGTCCGTACGAAACCGAACTCGAGTTTTCTTGTCCTTCTGAGTAGGTAACGGTTGTGACTCAGATGCGCCCGAATTCGAACAACGCGATCCAGAGACGGTCGTCCACAAGAGGTCATCTACAACACGTGTTTTCGTCACCGACCTATGAGCACTGGGTTAAACCTATCCTGCCGGAGGTTCAGTTCGGCTGAACCAGAACTTCGCAAATGTGGCTTGGATTAATCCGAGACGGGGACCGGCGGATGGACCCCACGGTCTGTTGACGCCCATCCAGCCATCCAAGCTTCCGTTATTCCCGAGCTGTCGTCGGGTCCAACCGAATTTCGCACGGTGTGTCTTTGTCCTTAAGTGTTTAAGACGTCCGTGAATCGGATTTATCCGATATCCACAGAGGCTGTCCCGATACGTGCGACCACGATAGGCTGCACCGACACCGTGTGCTTTCGACGTACAAGTTTATCAGACCGTGCGACGTCGTCAATACCCTCTGCGCATGTGGTAAATCCGAAAACGCCACCGGTGTGGTTCGGATTAATCCGACTTCGCCGAGGCGCTTCACTTTGCTGTCGCCCCACCACATCCCCGTGATTGTCGTAGTGTGTCATTATAATTTGTGCGTCATCACGGGGGATATCGTCGTCGTCGTGAGTTTTAGTTGGTTGTTGCTCGCCCAATCCAAACAACAGACACGTTTGCTGTAGTCGCAACACGAGTTTCGAGCTCGTCTTTCTTCCACCGAGCGTAACCATCTCGACTCGTTTTAGTTGCGTGAATCCGAGGCATCGTTGACCCTCGTCATCAGACTGCCCTTCGTAGAGCTAATGGTCGAAGACGAAGACAGCGTGGTAGTTCGGACACATCCGAACAAGGCAGAGTCGAAAGGCCGACGTTGTGACTCGGATGCATCCAAATTAGGCCGACCACATGAGGACGACATCGGCACGACATGTTTTCCTCAATGACCTGTGAGTAGAGGGTGGACCCTATCCTGTCGGAGGTGTGGTTCGGATTAATCCGAGACGGAACGGTCTTTTGAGAGCGTGTGATTTCGTCGTTCACGTTTATCGGAACGTGCGGCTTCGTAAATACCGTTTGAGCATGTCACAAATCCAAATTTGCCGTAAGTGTGGTTCGGATTAATCCGAAATTCGCCGAGGTGCCTCGGTTAGTGGTCGCCCTGTGAGTTTTAGTGGGTATTGGCTCGGATGCAAACGAAATTAACAAGGGTGGCTCGGATACGTCAGTTGTTGCGCCACCACAAGATGGTATGGACAGGGTGGGCGGTCGTCCTCCTGGTTGGTCAAACATGTCGCCGTCGACAATACCCTATGAGCATCTGATCGCTCCGTGTCCTGTCCTGTGTCCAAGTCAGCGGAAGGGTTCCTCGCGGCATTCGGCTGACGCGAGGTTTGATAGGGTTTAAAGATTTGAATTCGCATTCGCCTCCTGTGTCTTCGAATTTGTCGCAACAGTCTTCGGATTACTGATCTGTGATTGCACTCAGGGGGGGACCAACCTGAGATCGGTTGAGCGACTGTCTGCGATAGACAAAGATTGGAGAAAGGCAGAAAACCCGCATAGACACGGAAGGGAGACTAAGATCGATAGAGACGTCGACAAGGAGAGGATGCGCAGCGAGAGAGCCTGTCTTTAGCTCTATGTCTCTCCATGTGCAGATCCTGCTGATGCTGTTGTCCATTTCAGAATTCGCAATGTGACCCGTTAATAAAACGGGACAGAAGAAATATAAGAAAAAATTGTTCGTGCCGGCGAAAGGAAGATTGGCGAAATAATACGACTCAAATCCTTATATCGCAGTTCGTGAGCGAGTAACATTTCAAGAAAACATATGAAGTGACGACACAATCTCGAAGGGCGTGTCGCAATATTCTCGGGCTGCATTCACGGGTCTCGTTTCGTTGGTGACCACTCGCCCCGATCAGATGGCACACTCACATGTCCACGTGACAGCCCCTGAACATGCGTGGCGACGATCAGATAGAGCCCCGCATCCATCAGCGTGGCCACGCTTGTTCAGGACGTGACACGTGGACGTCTAAGTGTGCCATCTGATCGGTGCGAGTGATCGCCAATGAAACACATGCATTCTTGCTCCCGAAACTCCTTCATCTCGCCCCGATCAGATGGCACACTCACACGTCCGCATGTCATGTCCTGAACATGCGTGGCCACGCTGATGGGTGTGGGGCTATA